TTAACGAATTAATATTTGAGAATATCATATTCCATTTATTTTGAATTATTATTCATTCCCGAAAACGCTCGCGAGACAAAAAAAAATGTACGAATTTGCACATATCATCACATAATATGCACAAGATCTGCACTTGATTTGAACGTGCACTTGATTTCCAATTTTTTTTTTATTAGGACCGGAATTATATTTTTAATTCCCATAAATTGTGAAATAATTTTTCAATATTTCTGAATTATTCCCAAAATCTCTAATTATAATCTTTAGCATTATTATGTATTCCTATTGTTTCGTACAGTTTCTATATAATTCTCAAAGAAGCACGGGTTAAATATTTAGATCCCGAGAGTTTCGGAATTATAATCGAAATGGAAGTACGAAAAAAAAGTACACTTCCAAAACAAAAAAGGAAATTTTGTCCGTTTTTTTTTTCAAATTGGACATATAACTTATGGTTCACAAAAGCCATAAAATTAAATCCAATTTGGTACGACTTAGTCTGTTTATGCCGAAATAGACATACCTTTATCTATGTAACCCAATATAATTAAAAAAGTATATCGTTAAAGTTATATAAAAACATTACCTCCCACACAACAAAAGTGTGCATTTTAATCCTTACAACAAAATATTTATTTTGATCATATTTAACCAACCAATAATAAATAAATAAATACAAAGCTAAAAGTTAGTTACAAATTTTTGTAGGTATACATTTAGCAAAATCCGCGACGTGAAGTCGACGGTAGGGTACACGGTGATTCCGTACACCATCGCCCTATTTGCATCGGCCATCTGGCTCTATTACGCTGCCATTAGATCATACGCAGTCATGCTAGTTATCATTAACAGCACTGGCTACGTTATCGAGATGGCGTACGTCGTCATATTTTTCTACTACTGGGCACTATGATCGAGTGGGTTTCCAAATTCTTCATAATACTTACAAAAATTTTAAAAATAATATTTCTTTAAGACATCACTAATAGTTAAACAAATAATTTTGTAGATTTTTACTATCACTATCTCGGGTATTCTATTTGAATTATTTTGCACTATCGCCTTTGTCACGTATTTTACGTGAAAGGTGACTTGAGGATTATGGTCGTTGGGTGGATATGCTTTGGATCATCCATCTAAGCCTATTCATCGACCATAGGCACCGTGTTAAGATTAATATTAAATAAATTTAGTAACTTTAAATTTAATTTAATTTAATTTATATAATTTTTTTATATACCTTTTTTTTATATAATAGGTTAGAGCTGTTAGGACACGCAGTGTGCAGGGTATACCCCTAACAGCTTATGCTGTCATTTGGGACATCTATGGCTTTGCCAAAGGAGATGTCAATATCAAGGTATGTAAATCCTAATCAACATTACATCTAATTAAAAATTAGAAAATATTTTTTTCTAATAAAACTTTTTTTTTCATTAATACAGATTCCGAACATTATCCGATTAGTTTTAGGTATAGGCCAGATTGTAGTGTACGTGATCTTCCGTACACCACAGACTAGCGAGACTACTAGAGAGTCTCAGACTGCGGAGACTATTTGACATGTTACAATATTTTTATTTATTATTTTTTTAGTATTTATTTATTATTATTAATAATATTTTTTTTAAATTGTAGTATGGATACATGAAGTGGATTGCATTCGCTAACACTTGTTAGTAGGAAAAGAAAGAAGAAGAAGAACAAACAAATAAAAGGCACAGTATAAGTCTAATATGTGTGGATGGGGACATATTCTGAGTATTTGGACTTTATTATATTCGTCTAATATATTATGTATTATTTCTATTAACTGCGATTGAGTTCCTAATTGTTAGTAATTGTCATTTGAGTTCGAAAAGACTACATAAATTAATCTTCATCTTATTTTCATTACCATAAATGTCAATTTAATGGGTTTAATTTATTTATTGAAACGTAAAATTATTATTTGCTAGATAAGAAAATGAAAGCATATATAGACCATAACACATATCAAATGTTGACAGTCAAACAAAGGTGTTATTTTGGTGTATTTTGAGATTGAGCAATATAATATAATTTGGTCAAGGCAGCAGCTAAGAAATTAATTGATTGATTAGCCTCAAAATTTCTCCAAATTCAATTGAACGTTGAGATTAGAAAATAAATAAAATAAAATCCATTCTTATCCTCAGTCTTTATAATTATTGAATTATATATATTTATTGAATTAAACTTTTATAATTGTCCTGCATGTCAGTCTTTCCCAGGTTATTTAAATGTGTTTAAATTAAATAGAGATTTGTTTTGTGAAAAACAAGAATCGTGAATACTAACAATTCTATTTTTGCATGTCAAATTATCATATTAAACATTTCGGTTATGTCTCTAAACATAACATTAACGAATTAATATTTAAGAATATCATATTCCATTTATTTTGAATTATTATTCATTCCCGAAAACGCTCGCGAGATAAATAAAATGTACGAATTTGCACATATCATCACATAATATGCACAAGATCTGCACTTGATTTGAACGTGCACTTGATTTCCAATTTTTTTTTTTTTTTGATTGGGACCGGAATTATATTTTTAATTCCCATAAATTCTGAAATAATTTTCCAATATTTCTGAATTATTCCCAAAATCTCTCATTATAATCTTAGCATTATTATGTAATCCTATTGTTTCGTACAGTTTCTATATAATTTTCAAAGAAGCACGGGTTAAATATTTAGATCCCGAGAGTTTCGGAATTAGAATCGAAATGGAAGTATGAAAAAAAGTACACTTCCAAAACAAAAAAGGAAATTTTGTCAGTTTTTTTTTTTTGAAATTGGACATATAACTTATGGTTCAGAAAAGCCATAAAATTAAATCCAATTTGGTACGACTTAGTCTGTTTATGCCGAAATAGACATTCCTTTATCTATGTGAGCCAATATAATTAAAAAAGTATATCCTCAACATAATTACTACCCCTAGTTGGCAGTATGACATTTATATTAATTTAATTACAAATACCGCCCTGTGAAATCTGTAATTTCTCCATTTGTAAACATTTTCGTAGCACACAACACCCACTGGAATTTAGACATTAATGGAAATGACAAAAATGCCCCTAGGGTTTTTCAACAATCAGTAAATCATATTTGTGATTACTAAATATTATATGTATTTTTTAACTTATTTTTAATTTAATTATACCATATTTTATAAATTCATTATTTATTAATTTGTTAACATTTTGTGTTTCCCAATTTTGTAATTAATATATAAACAAAAATTAAACATATATAGTAATAACATTAGAGGTTTTTATATGTTTTGCAATTTTTCTATTTTACATTTTATAATAAATAAAGATAATTATAAAAAAAAAAAAAAAAAAGACAGAAGTCGTCTTCTTCCCAAGCAAATTAACACTTATACAACCTTTATCAAAATGGTAGAAGTCGTCGGTTCTGCTTCGCCGGTGCCTGCTACTAATCACCACCAGCTCCCGCACAACCACCATTTTATCCAAATCCACAGCTGACAGCCCATTACCAGAATTAAAATGGTGCATGCATATTAAAACTCAAGAAACAGAAATTTATATACAAACACACAAAAGCTCAAGTACACTTCCTCTCCCCATTTTCACTCCCTTGGTTGCATCCCCAAGGTTTCCCGGCGAATTGGTTTGTCCGAAATTCACGATTTCTCCAGCAAATTAGTTGGTTTTGTTGAGGTGCAAGCATCGATGTTGATTATGAAGACCTCTGGCGGGAGTTTACCGGCAAATTTGTGTGTGTTTTCTTCCAAGTATTGACTTTGTTTACATAGGGAGCTACGAGTGAGTTTTTTTCTTGAGAGGGGCTTATTTGGCTTATTTACTCAGTGGTTTGCAATTAACTCTGTTTATATTTGTTGGAAGTTGCCTCATGAAATTTTCTTTATTTTAATTAAAAAAAAGGCTAACGAATGATAATAGGCTAATAGCAAACCACTGTTTTGACGTAATAAAAAATAGAACAAAGAGTTTTTTTCTCTTAATTTTTATTTTCTAAAAAAGGCTGACTTTATGTTTTTTTTCCCCTCCTTTTGTTTTGAAGGCCCAAACCAATAAAACCCAAAATATAAATAATAAAAAAACGGCCAAACTAAAAATAAGGTCAGTAATTAAAAAGACCTCGTTTTCGAGTTTGCCTCAGGAGGGACCTTTAAACAACCTACTTAAACGTAAAGTTTAAATAAATATTTGGCGTCAAAATAAAGAGAAGTAGGTAATAGGAAAAGAAAAATATATGATGAAAATAATTATAATTATGCAAACTATAAGCATAAGAGCATTTCTAATCAGTCACTATGGTGGTGTTTGCAAATGCTTATTTAAAAGCAGAAGTTAGTGATTGTGAGTTAAGTTGGTTTGAAGTGATTATTTCTAAAAGTTTGGGTGTTTGCAAATATTCTAGGAAATGGACTTAAATAGAAAAAACAGGTACATGGATGCATTTAAAAAAGTAGCTTAAAACAGCTTATTTTAAGAGAAACAAAAATAAACGTTAACCCCCATATATCCATATACCCAAACTCTATTTTTCGACCATTTTTTTTTTTTTTTTTTTTGTGAAGGAATTTTCATTTCCCACCCATCCACCATTTTCCTATTTTTTCCACCAAGTCCTATTTTTCCTACCAAGTATCACTAGTAGAAAATTTGCTTATTACTACGAAATTTTCCGTTACGGTAAAAACCCGTAATAAATGTACTTTTTACTCTAGAACAATTTTGAAGTCGTAGTAAATACTAGGATTTACTGTAGCAAAAAAATATTGGTACGACCATTTACCGTAGCAAAGCTTTTGTCACTCCCGTATATGCTACGGGGCAAATTCGTAGCAAAAACCTTTTTAGTACGAATTTAATACCTTTTGCTACGGTTAATGATCGTAGTAAAAAGCTATTTTTCTACTAGTGTATACAGTTGAAAATAGGTTTTGGTGTAATTAACACCATTTTATTAATTAGTATATAGATGATGATTTTAACTACGGCGGCGGATATATGCAAGCCCATTTTTTTATTAGTTCAAAACCTCCAACATAAAAATATTAATTTACCCTTAATGAAATTCAAAACCAAATAAAAAACATAAATCATTAAAAAAAAAATCGGTGTTACAACACCGATTTTGACTTGTAAAGTCGGTGTTGTGTCGCGGATTTGGTTAACAAAAATCGGCATTGTGACGCCGATTTTCGTGTACAAAATCGGTCAGGATAAACCGATTTGGGAAACCAACAAAACACACAAAAAAATCAATTTCAATCTCATTTTTTTTTTCCAAAATCGACTAAAGCATTGCAACCCAACAAGAAGTAAGCATACATTAATGTTCATCCACGCATATTTATCAAGAATCGATGTTCGATAAATGTTTTTGAATTACAACCAAAAGTTTAGTAAAAAGGACTTGTTGGTGGCTGGTTCAT